GAGCCAACCTTGCTCAAGCTTCTCTCACATGATACAAGTCTCCTCCTCCCCTCCCTCCCCTCCGCTTCTCTCCTCCATTCAGTCCTTGATCCCCTCCGCTGCCTCCTCGCCTGTAGCAGCGACGTCGTCATGCCCTCTCTCCCCGAGCTCGCATCGGATGTCGCATGGCGTCTTGCCATTCTCAGCTGGGCTGTCGGCTTGCGCAGTAGAGCAGAAGCGAGCACTAGCCCGCATAGACAGACATGGGGGTGGAGGACAAGAGGAGCTGAGAGGTAGAGAGCAAGACGCGCTTCTATCAGGTACAATCAAGGTTGACCGCAACATTGACCGACAAGCTGAGAAAGCTTCAGCCCCCTGCTCGACGCTCGTCTTACCGCCAGCTCTTGCCCCTAGCAGCACGAACAAGCTCTGTCCCTTCCCCGCCATCCCCGCCTCCCCTCCAGCTGCACCACGACCCTCCCCATCACTCGGCATCGCGTCGCTCGAGCACGGACCTGAGCCGTCGGCCCGCCTCAGAAGCACGGGTGTCGGGGATGTTGGGAGGCAGGGCGGCGCCTCGGAGCCGTCGGATGCGTCGGATGTTGTACGAGTTGTTGCTAGCAAGGCTGCTCAGAGCCTCCATCGCGCTATCCTCCAACCACCCGCTGCCCTCATGCCTTTGCATCGCCCTCACTACCGCCTCGATCGCTCCCGCCTCCCGAGCCCGCGCCTGGCTGTCTGCCATGCCCTCCGTCATGCTGCGCAAGGCCCTGCATCCGTCACCCAGTATCCATTCGTCGTCCGCGTGCCTGGACATGGCGCTGACAACGGCCTCGATCGCTCCCGCCTCCCGCGCCCGCGCCTGGCTGTCAGCCATGCCCTCAGTCATTCTCTCAAGTGCTTCACAGGAAGATCTTTGTACCCCAGCGTCGTCCACGTGTCTGGACATGGCGCTGACGACGGCCTCGATCGCTCCCGCCTGCATGGCCGGGAGCTTGTTCTGCTCGTGGCTCTTGGCTATCGCTGTCATCACTTGGCATAGACCTTGCTGTATCTTCGCGTTGCTCTGGTGCCTGGTCATGGCGCTGACGACGGCCTCGATCGCTTTCGCATCTCTCGCTGTGCCCTGGTATCGGAAGTACTGCATTGTGTACTTCAAAGCCCAGCACGCAGCCTGCTGTACCCCCGCGTCGTCCGCGTGCCTATGGAGGCATTTCATGACGGCCTCGATCGCTCCCGCCTCTCGTGCTCGCGCCTGGCTCTCATCGCTGAAGCTGACAGTGTAGTCCAGGGCTTCGCACGCAGCCCGTTGTACCCCCGCGTCGACTGCGTGCGTGGTCATGGCGCTGACGACGGCCTCGATCGCTCCCGCCTCTCGTGCCTGCGCCTGGCTCTCCTCCCTGAAGCTGACAGTGAAGCGTAAGGCCCAGCACGCAGCCTGCTGTACCCCCGCGTCGTCCGCGTGCGTGGACATGGCGCTGACGACGGCCTCGATCGCTCCCGCCTCTCGCGCCTTGACCTTGTCAGCCTCCCCGTGCTGAGCCATGCTGACCAAGGCTTCGCACGCAGCCTGCTGTACCTCCGCGAGAGCCTCGTACGTCCTCATGTCCTGCATCACCGCCTCTATGCTGTCGTCAGCTCCCGTCCTCAGCAGCCTCCATGCCTCCCTTGCCGGCTGCTCCATCCCGACCGGCAGCGCCTGAGCTCCCGTCCTCAGCGAGCTGAGAGCGTCGCTGCCCGTTGACTCCAAGGCGGTGCAAGCTGACTCTTGCAGCTCCACGAGCTCTGCGTACTTGCGCTTCCTGACTCTCGTCGCCACCGCCTTGACCCCTCCCCCCGCTGCCTCTCCGATCCTTCTCCTACTTCAGCATAGCGACTGGTCGCCGGCCCTTGCCCGCTGCTGTCCAGGCGTCCTGTCTTGACCATGTCCATGCAGCAGCCCC